GTTAGGACACCCAGGGCCCTTTTTTTCTCAATATTATATATATATCATTTTGTATCCTGTAAAATTTTCTATCTAATGATATATAAACTGGCGTGGTTAACGATAAATATAAGCGATGAACGCTGTTGACCTATCGGAGGACGGGAAAAAAATGGGACCTGGGTGTCCTAACACTAGAACTACTACTGAAGAAGGATATTTTCGGCATCAATGGATAGGCTAAGTCATATAAAACCGTTTACCATTTACATCGGCCGTTCACGTCAGTGACAAGACCTATCTCATATTCTAGAGCTCAGCAAGCTGCACTGAATGGCGAAAGCCGCAAATGTCCAGCCTTGATAGAAAAGAAGCTATAGCCGTTTTACCGTCGCAGCAGAAAAATGCATTTTCATCGTTTTCCGGCGGATTTGGCTTGACTTGTAGAACGTCTGCTGACTACATTCCCTAACATAGAACCTAGGTGTCGAATGAAAGAGCGCATCGAGTTCTATATATTTCGATGGAAAAACGTTATGCTACATGTCGTAGTTTTGAGATAGAGATTCTAGAAAACCTAGTGAACTTAAAGTTTCTTTCAGAAGCCTTTCAACCATATCATTGGAGATCCCCTTGAATTCTCCAAAACAGAAGATGCTTGCTAGGTTTCTGCGATCGGGGACAACCGAGTTACAGGCTTTTTAACATTATGAATATAAATTCACCCGTGTTAATGTCGTGTTCGAACTGTATCGCATTTTCAATGCGACTGTGTGATACAACATCATAAAAAGTTGGCCAGCATCTTGACAAGATATTAAAAGAACCTGATATGTCGCGGCCGCGAAGTTTGCGCGTTCCGCGAAAAACCGGTGATAGCGTTCAGTGAAAATTGTCCCGCGTCGCGTTCGTGCTTCAAGTCACATCGAGTTCGCGGTTCAGATTATGTCGCGACCGCGATTAAAAACAAACTGCGTCATGTTCGCGACTTACATCAGATCGAATCACGGCGCGTTCGCGATTCAGATAAAACATTTCTATGCGTTCATATGAAGTTTCTTCGTTTGAAGAAAAATCTTATAAAAGTGTGGTAAGGTAGATTACCTAGGAGCACATGCATCTCTAAAAAACATTTTCTGAGTTAAAGAAAACAGAAAAGCAGACATTTATCGTTCGATTTTTAATTTCGCATCTTATTTTATGGAGAACTGAAGGTGACTAGAAGTGAGGCCAAATCCGCGGGAAAGTGAACGGCTATAGGTTCTTTTCTAACAAGGCTGGACACTCGCGGTTTCCACCATCCAGTTCAGCTTGCTGAGCTCTAGAATATGAGGTAAAAAAGGGCCCTGGGTGTCCTAACACTAAAAATACTACTGGAGAGGGATATTTTCGGCATCAATGGATATAAAACCGTGGAGATCGGGACCAGTATTTCTAGTGTTACGGCACCCAGGTCCCATTTGTTCTGAATATCCTAGATATCATTTTGTAGCCGTAAAACTCTCTATCTAATGATATATAAACTGGCGTGGTTAACGATAAATATAAGCGATGAACGCTGTTGATCTATCGATTTGCGGAAGTAGGAGCTAGTATTTCTACTGTTCTGACATCAAGACCCATTTGTGCTCAGTAATATATATATATCCTTTTGTAGCCCGGTATCGAATGATATAGAGTAGTTGAGGTTTGCTTTGGGCAAAGGGAAGAAATGGGGAACATACTCTAAATAAAGTTCAATTAAGGAGAGAGAAGTTTGGATGCGGAATTTTTTCCAGAGGGGGTGAAAATGGTTTTTTTGAGGTGTAGTTTTAATCATGGTTTGGTTTGGTTTAAGCTTTAATCTTGAACAAGAACGAAATTGAGAATTCTCAACACACAGCTTCATCAAATCTATATTCCTTCTAATCTGTTTCCGCTTTTTCAGTACCCACAGAATTCTCTGAAACCTTTCAACGATATTTCTCGCGTCACTCTCATAAGGTTCTTTTAATATCTTGTCATATACAAAGCTCTCGAACAAAATGTCCTGAAGATTGTCACCAAGCTTGTCATTTAGAGGTACACGTATGCGATTAGCTTTATCTGTCCCAGAGATGGTGTTTTTGCTTCTGCGTAATTAAACCATACTCTTTTGTCTATTTGCTCTTTCACATATTCGTTCAGTATCTCAGCTTTCTTTTCCATTTCCGATATATGAGGCTGAGCATAGCGTGTCTGCTGTGAAGCTCGACTAAGTATTTCGTCCAAGATATAATCATACACTCGCAGTTTCATGTGGAGTGTGTCGATTACATAAAAATATAGGCCAGTTTTTGACGATTTTTTTGATTTCAGTGATTATCCTAGTGGTAGTTTGCTATTTTCTTTCCTTTTGCGTCGACATCTTTCAGACACATTTTCTGTTCGAATAAGCTTCGCGCTTTCTTTCCTGTGTCATAACAAGACGTCAAATCTGGCGGTTTCAAATCCTCTTTACTAACTGTACACCAAACACAGGGATCATTTGAATTAAACCCTACCAGACTCATTATATACGCAAAATTCATCATATCTCCTTCTACAAACTTTGTTACCGGAATATCCCTGCCATTATAACGAACAAACTTCAGCGCTTTTGTTCTCGAAAATGAACAGGAATCACATTTTTTAAAATTTCATTCGACTCGTGTGTAACTTGAAAAATACCCGGTGGTACGAGAAGCTTTGCGGAGAAATTTCATGAGAAATTTCACGCTTTAAGTCCTCACAATCAACATAACAATTCAACTCCACAAATACAAAGTAGCACACAGCTTCAAAAATACGAGTCACATCTAACCGCTTAGTACTGTTGCTACACATTGCTTGAAAAAACGGGATAAATACTGGAAATTAGCTTTGACGTGTAAAATAGAATTCAAAAAGTCAAAAGAAATTTTTTCTTCGTTATCAACAACTCGCACACTTTTAGGAAATATTATTACCTGATTTGAAACACTTCACTTCGTGACGGCGATGTAGTATCGTTAGTTAAAGCGGCATTATCATCCCCTGAAACAGATATGCTATCATCTCGGTTATGTGTTACATACACAGAGCCTTCATTCTGATCTTGGGACACACAGTCATCCATCACCATTTCCACATGCTTTTCCTTAATATAAACCGATAAAAAATCAAGTTTTTTGTTTGCCTTAGATAATACTAGGGATACTGCACATTTACAAGCACGTTTAATACTCTCCTTCAATGCACACTTCTTGCGGGCTCGTAGCGTCTCAACAACACGAGATTCAAGTTTTTCAAGAGCAGTATCACTTTTCAAACTATCATCATTTAAATCATGCCCAACAACCACAACCTTTTATTGCACTGCTTTAAAAGATTGTATTCGAGTAAAACAGTTGAATTATAAAAACAATAGAAAAAACCTTTTATCTCAGATTTACGTCTATCCAAAAATCTAAATCTAAAAGAATGACATATATTTAGAACAGGTTAGTTCATATCTTTCGCGGTCAACTTTTTAAAAATTTGAATCCCTTTCCCTTCAAGATAATGGAAAAGTTTAGTCTTCACATTTTCCTTGTTTAGGGATTGTTTTGTCTGTTTTTTTACCATCCTCGAAATGATAACATACGTGCGTCTCGTCAATCTCTATTTCCAGTGGCGCGCCACCATTATAGCAAAGTGTGGCAGTTGCCACACCAAAAACTTTTATTCGTTATGGGTTTTCCTGTACCAGTATTTTTTTTAGAAGTTTCTTACACTTTTTAATAATTTTGCCACACCAAAAAGCTGATCCTGGCCCGCCGATGTCTATTTCTTAAATCATGTAACACGCTTGTACTTTTTTCGTCACATATGTAGGACAGAAAGAAGTGATGGACGCTTCTTTTAATCCTAGTAAAACTGTTTATTTGAATTTCTTATTAAGATCTTGGCTCACGAAATGCTCTAAGATCTTGAACTTCATGGTCAAGAAATTTACATTCTTTTATTATTCTTCCTGACTCATGATCTTGATCTCAAGAAGTCAAGCAACTTCATTTATTGGCAGAAATAAAAGAATCAATCACTTCGAACTGAGAAAGAGATGACAAAATCACAAAAAAGAAAAAAATTCTTAATTCACGGACCGTAACCGACTTAAAAGGGTAAAAGTTTTGGTTACAGCATTTAACAAGTGATGTAACATGTTTTACTCGGCCTTTTCTTCGAGAACATGATGCATTCAAGGCAGTACATGGCAGTTACAAATTTATCACACGTTAAGCATGAATGATTTCAGATCTCATGCAGACTATGAGTATATCAAAGCTGAACCACTTTTCTTACTTTGTATGCTTTCTTACATTTTTTATGTTTGTTTCAACGAAAAAAGTGTGAATCTTAGCATTTACAAATCCATCTCCACCGTATATATTTTTTGATATTCAGAATGGTTAAAGGAAAAATTTTAAATTTTTCAAAAATAAAAAACAGAATTTCCCTCTACTCTCTCTCACTGAAACTGCTGTGCACTTACTCTGTAAAATCCTGTTTTTGTTTGAGCTGTAATTCTGCTTTTAAGTTGGAAAAGCAAATGTAAAAATATAAACTACAAAAAGTGCAAGTACAAATGATCCTCACATCATATTCAGAAAATAAGATATCCTGTATTCAACAGACACCATTCTTCTTTGTGCATGCCTCCTTTGAAATAAAAATAACAAATGTTTTGAGATAAGAACACATTGAAATAAGAATAAGAAACACACATGTCAGTCACATAAATTTCAGAATATGAACTATATCTGTAGCTTATAAAGACAGTATATACCGTACCTTATTACAAGTTGAAAAATGTTCTTTTGTTTTTAGTAACGGAAAGTATGAATGCCTTAACCTTCGTATTCGTCGACAGTAGTCATATTTAAATCTTTTGCATGTGTCAGACATTTCTTATGTTTCTTACAGAATACTACTTCTTGAGCTAAGAAACACAAGAAAATAGTTGCGGTTTTCTTGCTGTGTCTCTTGATTCACCGTAATTTCACATGTACCACACATCAGCACGATTATGTTACGTGTGTGAAAGACCTGGACATAAAGCGAAAGATCATTCACCGTATGACGCCGGTGTTTACAGTCTCATACCAGATGTGAGTGCGTATGTAGCATATTATCTATTTCTGTTAATGCTTTCTTAAGGTTTAGTTTCGTCGTAAGCGGTCCCTATCTCGTCATCAAAGCTATGGAAAATGTTGTTGTCAGAAGACATATATTCATATAGACGTCAGTCAGGTCTAGTGAAAAACCTTTTCATTAGACAAAATATACTGTATATAAACGAACAAAATAAAATGGATTGCAAGATAAAATAACAACGATCCCTAGATGTTTTCTTCTCTGTTATTTTATTTTATCCGTTTATACACAGCACATTTTTTTATCTTGTTACTCTCTAACTATTCACTATACTATTGCTCACACCGTGTATAAACGGATAAAATAACAGAGAAGAAAACATCTTAGAATCTTTGTTATTTTATTTTATCATACAGTCCATTTTATTTTGTCCGTTATATGCAGTATATTTTATGCTGTTACTCTGTACATATTCAGTATACTATCGCTCACTTTTCACTAGACTGGCCTCTATATAAAATGTATCCCTCCCAGTATTGCTATTTATATCCGTTTCTTTCTTTGTTGAAATTCAGCAAGTTAAATACCTATATTTTTCCTTTATTTATTCAGACAAGGCGGCATAGGTGGTGGTTTTCTTTACGGTGGTGATTGTGGTGGTACACAGTCGTCAAACAACTGTCCGTTAAGTGATGAACAAATTGGTGGACAAATGTGATATATGTTTTCTAGTTTCCGCCTTTTTCGAAAACAGGTTCTCTTTTTTACCAACGTAATATTTTCTATCTGAATTGTTGAAGAAAAACGTGCGGTCATTTAATAAAATTAATCTAGCACTGGTATTATTTTTTTCCTTCTATTTTTATTGCTTGAAAACAACAATCTGCAAGAAAAACGATGAAATCTCTCTACTTTTCACTAAACCTAATTTTCCTTTGTTTATTCAGACAAGGCGGTAGTTTTGTTTACGGTGCTGATTATAGTGGTACACAGTCGTCACATAACTATCCGTTAAATGGTGGACAAATGTGAGTATATGTTTTTTAGTCTCGGCCTTTTTCGGAAACAGGTTCTCGTTTTTGCCAACGTAATATTTTCTCTCTTAGTTGTTGAAGAAAAACGTGCGATCATTTAATAAAATTAACCTTATGCATTTTATGCTAAATTATAATGTATTTTTCTCCAAGTGTTCCGAAAAAAAATATGCGTAAAAAAAAGTTTGAATGCCTCACAGATTTCTTGATTAGCTGTATGTTCTCATCAGAAAGGTTGAATTTCGATAGTTTTTGGAGGATTTTTATCAGTGGTTTCAACAATTTATTTTTATTTTCTTTCTCTCTTTTTTTATGATTAACGTTCGTTTTCAAGAACAGCAATACGTTCAAATGTAAATATAACTAGTCTGCTTCAACATCAATATACTTATCCGTTCTTTTTTTTTCTTTCTGTTATAGAAGAGACCAGTAGCAGTCTCTCAACCCGTGGCCATTATCATATGGATACTATCAGTTGTAAGTATAACTTTACGTTATTTTTGGACGTTTAGTTATGTGGAATACTCTTCCCAGAGAAATTATTTTGTATAGATGTATCCGAGGATAGAATTTATTCCGACGGTCATTTTATACTGAGAAAAGTGTTACAACAGTGAAAGAAGCATGTTGTGACTATCTGATATACTTACCTTCTAATCTTTTCACTCCTTCGTCTCTGTATGCCTTGATTATTCCAAATGAAAATTTTGTGACTTTCTGATCTTCTACGTTCCTGAGAATTCATGTTTTATGTTATGAGACGATCAGAAATCAAGAAGATTACTATATGAGATAGTTAACACATAGAAAGGCGAAGGAGTGAGAAGATCAAAAATAAGTTAGAGGTGTGTCACTATATATCTACTGCCTACATGAATATAATCTGCTATTCTCTTTTCTTCATTTTAGGGTTGGACAACAACCGGTGAGACTAGTGAATCACGTCCCACAACCAGATGCTCCTCCACCACCAATACCACAAAAACAATAGCTGGCTCCCGACGAACAACAAGCGATGTCGGCCATTCCTCCATCACCTGACGAATGATGGATGACCTCATTCGTGTTTAAGTTTTTGTTTTTCTCCTGTTTTGGAAAAGCTTTCAAAATAAAAAACATTAACTAAGCTTTTCTTTTTCATCAATCAATTCTTTCCTGTGGAATACATGTTTTTACACCTCAGAAATGATAACAACTTTCTCGGGTATCTGGCTTAAATCGGATTTCTATTCTCTTATAGATAAAGCAAATAGTCAAGTCGCATAAAATGGGCATCAACGCCAATCCAGTAGAAACCGTCCTCACGAACTTCAGATAAGTAGCGGTTACTTCAGCTAAAAATGGTTCTTTGTGGTGTTTTCGTTTCTATTTAGATATATATCGATCATGCGAACAGATGGACAAAGGAGGCATAGATAACATTTAATTTTTTTGTTAATTGAAAAATTTAATATTTACAATATTTTGCAAAATAATTCATCACTTTCTACAACATTTTTTATTTAAATCGGAGCAATTTTACAACATACTTTTGGAATATTTGAAATCAGTAACTTAAAATGTTTTTTGCCTCTATTTCATAACTTTCATCTATGCTTTTGTGTTAACCCACATTGACTAAAATAAGGGTATACAGTTTTGGCTGCACCAAATTATAGGCTTTTAATACCAATTGTGTCATTTTTTTATCTGTATCATGAGACATTGAACGATAAAAAGTTCTCATTACCTTGAAGAAACAGATCAGAACTTTCACCATGTGAAACAGCTTCTTAAAAAACATCGTATTGTCAAACATCATTTATTCTAATTAATTATATTTTCTCTGTTTTCGCTTTTCTTTTATTTAGTCTTATGGATATGACTATCTTGTTCATTACTAATTTTTCCAATTGCAGCCAAATATGTTCTCTGATAGAGTCAAGTATTTTCTGCATTATGGAACCGCTCGTATCACTTGAATAGTTTTCCCTGAAATACCCTTAAGAGCCATTGCACGTAAGCCACGACCTGTTACAGCGGGGTGGCCTTCAATCGATGTTCTCGAAACTTTTCCAAAGTAGGGGGCTTTTGTAGACCAAACATTTTAAGGAATTTTGGTGAAAGGCGCAAATCGAAAAGTGGTATCGTTGCTGAGATATTGATATTTTACGAAAAGCCCTGAAAAACGTAGATTCCGCCATCTTGAAAATTTGCCAAATTTAAACTCTTCTAACGCAGTAACAACATATTACTTAGCCTTGACGATTTTACCATGAGTAGCAGATACTGTCTACTACAAATCCACGCAACCGCGAGCTCAAAACATGCTTTCGTTATTTTGTAATAGATGGCGCACTAAGAGCCCAAATCCAGAAAACCGTGAATTTTGCTGCAGCC